CCACTGCTCACTATTTAAACTACCTGGTGCTTGTTGCCACTGCTCACTATTTAAACTACCTGGTGCTTGTTGCCACTGCTCACTATTTAAACTACCTGGTGCTTGTTGCCACTGCTCACTATTTAAACTACCTGGTGCTTGTTGCCACTGCTCACTATTTAAACTACCTGGTGCTTGTTGCCACTGCTCACTATTTAAACTACCTGGTGCTTGTTGCCACTGCTCACTATTTAAACTACCTGGTGCTTGTTGCCACTGCTCACTATTTAAACTACCTGGTGCTTGTTGCCACTGCTCACTATTTAAACTACCTGGTGCTTGTTGCCACTGCTCACTATTTAAATTACCTGGTGCTTGTTGCCACTGCTCACTATTTAAATTACCTGGTGCTTGTTGCCACTGCTCACTATTTAAACTACCTAATGCTTGTTGCCACTGCTCACTATTTAAAATACCCGGTGCTTGTTGCCACTGCTCACTATTTAAACTACCTGGTGCTTATTGCCATTGCTCACTATTTAAATTACCTGGTGCTTTTTGCCACTGCTCACTTTTTAAACTACCTGGTGCTTATTGCCACTGCTCACTATTTAAACTACCTGGTGCTTGTTGCCACTGCTCACTATTTAAACTACCTGGTGCTTATTGCCACTGCTCACTATTTAAACTACCTGGTGCTTATTGCCACTGCTCACTATTTAAACTACCTGGTGCTTATTGCCACTGCTCACTATTTAAACTACCTAGTGCTTGTTGCCACTGCTCACTATTTAAACTACCTGGTGCTTATTGCCACTGCTCGCTATTTAAACTACCTGGTGCTTATTGCCACTGCTCACTATTTAAATTACCTGGTGCTTGTTGCCACTGCTCACTATTTAAACTACCTGGTGCTTATTGCCGCTGCTCACTATTTAAACTACCTGTTGCTTATTGCCACTGCTCACTATTTAAACTACCTGGTGCTTGTTGCCACTGCTCACTATTTAAACTACCTGGTGCTTATTGCCACTGCTCACTATTTAAATTACCTGGTGCTTATTGCCACTGCTTACTATTTAAACTACCTGGTTCTTGTTGCCACTGCTCACTATTTAAACTACCTGGTGCTTGTTGCCACTGCTCACTATTTAAATTACCTGGTGCTTATTGCTACTGCTCACTATTTAAATTACCTGGTGCTTGTTGCCACTGCTCACTATTTAAATTACCTGGTGCTTGTTGCCACTGCTCACTATTTAAACTACCTAGTGTTTGTTGCCACTGCTCACTATTTAAACTACCTGGTGCTTGTTGCCACTGCTCACTATTTAAACTACCTGGTGCTTGTTGCCACTGCTCACTATTTAAACTACCTGGTGCTTGTTGCCACTGCTCACTATTTAAACTACCTGGTGCTTGTTGCCACTGCTCACTATTTAAACTACCTGGTGCTTGTTGCCACTGCTCACTATTTAAACTACCTGGTGCTTGTTGCCACTGCTCACTATTTAAACTACCTGGTGCTTGTTGCCACTGCTCACTATTTAAACTACCTGGTGCTTGTTGCCACTGCTCACTATTTAAACTACCTGGTGCTTGTTGCCACTGCTCACTATTTAAACTACCTGGTGCTTGTTGCCACTGCTCACTATTTAAACTACCTGGTGCTTGTTGCCACTGCTCACTATTTAAACTACCTGGTGCTTGTTGCCACTGCTCACTATTTAAACTACCTGGTGCTTGTTGCCACTGCTCACTATTTAAACTACCTGGTGCTTGTTGCCACTGCTCACTATTTAAACTACCTGGTGCTTGTTGCCACTGCTCACTATTTAAACTACCTGGTGCTTGTTGCCACTGCTCACTATTTAAACTACCTGGTGCTTGTTGCCACTGCTCACTATTTAAACTACCTGGTGCTTGTTGCCACTGCTCACTATTTAAACTACCTGGTGCTTGTTGCCACTGCTCACTATTTAAACTACCTGGTGCTTATTGCCACTGCTCACTATTTAAATTACCTGGTGCTTGTTGCCACTGCTCACTATTTAAATTACCTGGTGCTTGTTGCCACTGCTCACTATTTAAACTACCTGGTGCTTGTTGCCACTGCTCACTATTTAAACTACCTGGTGCTTGTTGCCACTGCTCACTATTTAAATTACCTGGTGCTTGTTGCCACTGCTCACTATTTAAACAACCTGGTGCTTATTGCCGCTGCTCACTATTTAAATTACCTGGTGCTTGTTGCCACTGCTCACTATTTAAACTACCTGGTTCTTATTGCCACTGCTCACTATTTAATTTTCCTGGTGCTTATTGCCACTGCTCACTATTTAAACTACCTGGTGCTTATTGCCACTTCTCACTATTTAAATTACCTGGTGCTTGTTGCCACTGCTCACTATTTAAACTACCTGGTGCTTGTTGCCACTGCTCACTATTCAAATTACCTGGTGCTTATTGCCACTGCTCACTATTTAAATTACCTGGTGCTTGTTGCCACTGCTCACTATTTAAACTACCTGGTGCTTATTGCCACTGCTCACTATTTAAATTACCTGGTGCTTATTGCCACTGCTCACTATTTAAACTACCTGGTGCTTATTGCCACTGCTCACTATTTAAACTACCTGGTGCTTGTTGCCACTGCTCACTATTTAAACTACCTGGTGCTTGTTGCCACTGCTCACTATTTAAACTACCTGGTGCTTGTTGCCACTGCTCACTATTTAAACAACCTGGTGCTTGTTGCCACTGCTCACTATTTAAACTACCTGGTGCTTGTTGCCACTGCTCACTATTTAAACAACCTGGTGCTTGTTGCCACTGCTCACTATTTAAACTACCTGGTGCTTGTTGCCACTGCTCACTATTTAAACAACCTGGTGCTTGTTGCCACTGCTCACTATTTAAACTACCTGGTGCTTGTTGCCACTGCTCACTATTTAAACTACCTGGTGCTTATTGCCACTGCTCTTATTTAAACATAGACTTCAAATAGCCACTGTCATAACTTTTAACAATGACACAATGAAAATAGTTTTTCCTTTCTGTCAGAGACGGATGCCGAGACATGAATCTGATAATGGTGAGATAAGCATCTGATACTGGCGAGATATGTATCTGATAATGGCGAGATATGTATCTGATAATGGCGAGATATGTATCTGATAATGACGAGATATGTATCTGATAATGGCGAGATATATATCTGATAATGGCGAGATATGTATCTGATAATGGCGAGATATGTATCTGATAATGGCGAGATATATATCTGATAATGGCGAGAAATGTATCTGATAATGGCGAGATATGTATCTGATAATGGCGAGATATGTATCTGATAATGGCGAGAAATGTATCTGATAATGGTGAGTTAGGCATCTGATAATTGCGAGATATGTATCTGATAATGGCGAGATATGAATCTGATAATGGCGGGAAATGTAACTGATAATGGCGAAATGTATATCTGATCATGGTGAGAAATGTATCTGATATGGCGAGATATCTATCTGATAATGGCGAGATATTTATCTGATAATGGCGAGATATGTATCTGATAATGGCGGGAAATGTATCTGATAATGGCGAGATATGTATCTGATAATGAGGATATGGAAATGGATTATTTTTATGTACATATGTTGAGCTGGTAGTGGTTAGTTGGTGAGGTATCTAGGTGTGTCGCAGAAGATTACGGTAAATGGAAATGGTTGTTGTGGGGTAGATCGGGGACAGATGGTGTTTGAGAAACAACCGTGATACGGAGAAGAGTTTAAAGGCTAGCATGAAGAGGGGTTGATTGTAATGGAAAGAGGTTGTTACGAGGGAGAAATGAAAGAGTTTTTCGAGAGAGCATTGACGATTGTGATGTTAGCATTTTAGAGCTGTGAAACTTCTTTTTATTTTATGTTCTATTCGTGATATTGATAAAGATAATGCTGATATTTCATTCTACACAATTGACTTTGGTCAAAGGGTTGTAAAAAAAATTGATAAAATAAACTAAAAAGAAAACAATTATATTAACAAACTTTCTCTTATAATTAAATTTTGAATATCCATAGATTATAATAAAAGTTAACAAAATAACAATGTTACAAATAAAATTTTCAAAAATTGTTTAAAAAGTTTAATCTTTTTTATAAAACGATCCAACCTGCCATAAAAATGTTAAGGTGTACTTGTTGAAAAAATAATATCCCAGAGGCCACCAGTTCACGGTAACATTTGTTTTCTCCATTATTTTCTACATATAAAATCTTCTGGTGACAAGTGAATCTCCTGCCTCAAGTCGTTCGTGTTTTGCCTGGTGTTGTCATGTTGTCTCTCTCCGTTAATAGTTACATTCACATTTAAAATTGTAATTTAAATATCCATAAGCTACGCCTTTTTTTTCAAATATTTGTTTTCAAAATCACATTCAACAACACTCTCTGGCCAAAGTTTTTTCCAAGCAGAAGTGAGGGAAAAAGGGACTTCCCCTTTCTGCGTAACTCGTTATGCGAAATGTCGCTCTCTAAGGAGCAACTTCTTCACATTTTTTTTGCTCGTTATGTGAATTGCTCGTTATGAGAGGTGCTCGTTATGAGAGGCTCCACTGCATTAAAATTTACAGTAATAATAATTAAACTCGTTTACCTCGATAGTACGCACAACAGAATTATGTTAGACCCACGTTTTGGTTTTGTACAACTTAACTTTCGTTGATAAAATAAAACACTTTCGTTTTCTTCAAAGCCATGCGAAGGTAAACATGATAGAAATTTAAGTATAGGCAAACAAGTCCCTTGACAGAAGAGTTTGATAACCCGGGCACCCTTCCGTACTGGAACATTTTAATTTTTAAATTTCACAAAATATTGATTTCTATTCACTCATTAAAAAAAAATAATAACTTAAACCAAAATATACAACGATTACAGCATTACGTTCTTAAATGTGAACTTGAAAGAACTTTAATTTGTTTTTAAAGAGACGCCAAACATTAAGCATAACACATCATCCACTTATTTGAAACTGCAAAGGATGCGTTTAAGCGCGACCCTTATAGGCTTGAAAAAGCTGTACAGCACCGGGTTGATGGCCGAGTTCATGTAAGTAATCCAACTTGTAATCAACATCGACCACAGAGGAAACTCGAAGTCAAGGTAAACATACACAACAACGAAAAACCATAGCGGCACCCAGCAGACGGTGAAGCTCAGCACGATGGTCCCCAGTGTGCGAATAGCCTTGACATTTCTCATTATTCGACGAGGCAAAATTGTATTGTTCAGATCCGGTGGTTCGAATGGCTTCGGTGTATTGGAGCTAAATAACAATCTTGGATGGGCGGGTGACTGAAGTCTCTGACACGCTGCTGAAAACTCTGTCCTAAAAACTTTTGGCTGTACATGCTCTCCACAACTCTTGCCTCTGACTTGTCTAGAACTTCGCTTGTTGAATTTCCAAATCTCGTAGAATATAAATCCATACAGAACATATGTAGCGCACATGGGCAGATAAAAGGCCACCACAAATACTGTTATAAGAACGTGTTTGTTATACATTGAACTGCATATCATCAGCTGATCACGGCACTTGATTAAATCTTCATTGCCCTTCTGGAAGAAGTCCGTCACCAGAGGCAGTAGGAAGATACCACTCGGAAGAAACCAGGATAGAATGACCATCAGTTGACCGATTCTTTTAGTAAGGAATCTATACACAAGCGGCTTACACACGGCCATGTATTTATCTATAGCTATGCACAGTATGTGACAGGCGGTGATGCCGCACAGATCATTACCGACGTTGAGCCAGACGTTGCAAAACTTTGTCCCAAGAATCCACTTCCCGTTGTATATCAGCTGGGCAACGCCAAACGGCATGTGGAATAGAGCAAAGATCAAATCGATGCATGCCATGGACGCCATCAGAAGCTGTGTGATCTTGTGGTCGTTATGGCTGGATCCTTTGCCACGTGACACAAACATGGCTACGACGATGGTGAGATTAGCTAAGATGGTGAATGTCGTGAGCATGACGGCTAAAACAGAAATCCAAGTGACAGCGTGCACATTTGGTGGATGAAAGTATCGGGCTATGTCCGCAAGATGACAGGGCGTCTTGTTCATGGTTGGTTCCCGATCTCGTCGGTGTACTGCATACAATGTGACAAATGGAGGGTAACACTGTGGCTTCTATTGTGTTGATAAGCGAAGCTTTAGTTATTACGGCTTAGTCCACCTTGTTATCCCGTTATAACTTCTCAGTTTATTGAACATTATCATTATTTATTTATTTTTTTAAAACAATCTTCCTGTTTTCCAGGTTGGAACTATCTCTTGTTCCAGCTTGCCAGCATTGCCCAGTGTCGATGTGATAGGTTTACTTCTGGGGTTCACAAACTGCTTTATTCCACCGACTTGTTTTGTTTTTCTGTGTCCTAATAACCTTTCATTTTCATAGTGGTAAAAGGCTGACATCCGTGGCGTGATACAACTTTTATGTGGTTAATTCTTAAACAAATTGACAAAAATCCATTTCGTTTATCTAGACTGTTAACAACCTCCAGTTTCTTCAGACTACTTCTAACACGCCAATTAACCACGGCACGGTTCTCAATTGCTAATTGTCAAGTTTGTAAACGCTTGATTTTTCTTAAAAGAAATTGTTTTAACTTTGATTTTTTTTAACTGATTAGTTTATAGATTTGTCTTTATAAGGTAAATTCATATATCTAAAGATGAGATTATATTAAACTAATATATGTTCAGCGTTATCATTATTTATTCTATCGATTACCCCTGGAGCTATGGCGAATGATGTCCGCATGTTCTAGACACATTCCAATGAAATCACTCGATGCCACATTTAAACTGTAAGAGTCCAGCACAGTCCAATATCTTTACGTGGAAAAAACAAACAATTTTCTGGATTATCCAAATATTGAACATACGTTTCTTTTAACTAACCAACTTTGTTTTCATCATTTTTAATCTTTATTTGTACCGGTATATTATTTTTTTTTTAAAGTTTTTATTCATTTACTTCATAAATCTACTTTAAACGCACCTAGACCTATCAAAGTTTAAATTTTTTTTTTAAATATTAGGCAATTTAAAAACAAATTTTGAAAAAATTAGTTGCTTCTATGAAAACTGCGATTCACATATGGTCAATATCCATTACAACTGTTTTCACCAACACACCGACCGTCATCAAGGTGACCACGCACAGCGTTGTGTTAAATGTCACAATCCTACTTTTCCATTACGAGATTAAATGCTATACTAACAATATATTAGGATTTTTTTTTACCTCCAGCCATTCAAATCACAGTTTTAGATTAGCCAACGGTGTCTGAATTTTAATTTACAATGCCTTTACCGATGCAGTGATTATATTATTATTATTATTTTTTTTATTATTATTGAACTATCGTAAAATCATTTGTCACACCCCCTCTCTCCCCACTAAACGTTCAAATAGATGTCATTTCTGACATGTGTCATCGCCTCCAGATCTCTGAAAATAATAATGAGCTTCCTCATCAGTGTATTTAGTCGTTCTGCCACCTGTTACTGGCTAAGTTGGACGGCTCACCTGGCGGTATCTTAAATCAAATTTCCTCTTTATGTGTTGTTGTTGCTTTTACTGTATACCAACAGATGCCCCATGTTTTCCATTGACATCTAATACTAAATATACCCAATTTTGATTTTAATTGATCCGTTATTCTTTTACTCTCAAACCAGCACAAAAATCGACCTTGTTAAAAGATTTTGAAATTAAGTTCTTAAGCGAATGTCAAAATTTTTTATTCTCAACACCGAAGACTCTCCACACGAATTTATATCGCAAAAATTAATCGTTGACATGAAAACTGGACAATCCAGCCCCTTTTAACTCTTTACGCAGCTAAAGCTACCGCCTGGGTCCGAATATTTATCCAATACTTTTTTGCCCGATGTTGTTATCACAAAAGAAACCAGCTTTATCAGGCTGATAATGCCATAGAAATGTGACTCAAAAGTTGGCTGGGAGCCACACAACGAGCAGGCAACGACTGCCGTGAAACAAACAACACATAGACTTTTGTTAAATTGTTCAGTTTTCAACATGAACTTCTCATTTGCAACAATAAAGTAATCAATGCAAACCTCTCCCCCCTTCTCTCATCTTTTCAATGTTCTCCTCTCTCTCTCTCTCTCTCTCTCACTCTCTCTCTCTCTCTAAATATATTAATGCCTTCCTCTCTCGCACCTATTTTGTGTTTTTGTATGTATATAATGTGTGTGGGCGAAATTGCAATATAATTGCACACCAGTTACGCAAAATTGCACACTGTATAGGGCTGTTAGCAATTGTATGGTAAACATTGATTCGTAACTGACAAAAGATTTATCTTAATCATCTGAAATAATTCAAAAATAATGCATACAATTGTTAATGTATTTTTTTTTTTTAACATTTGACAATCTCCCACATTCTTATTTCTTGCTTTAATTTTATTTAATTTATGGAAGCTAATGTTCCAAATTGATGAAATTATAATGAAACGAATGAAATAAATGATTAACATTATAAGTATGTTCATCTATAACTTCCCTAATTTAGTCATACGTCATACAATCACAGCTTCAACCGTCTCAAAATAATTGTTGGATTAACCAAGTGATAATGAGACACGTTCTTGTTGTCCCCACGCCTTTTGTGGGTCCCTAGAAAGATGCAAATATTATCATTGGGTTAGGCTTTTTTGGGGATGTTGAAATTAAGGGGTACGTGTCATGAATTAATTTATTCAATTGGAGTTCTAGCCATCTACTTCTATAAAATGTTATAATTTTTTTTGGAGAAAAGAACGAAATAAAGGGAATATCCAATTGGTGTACATTTTTACACCTGTAGTCACCAAAGATTTAAACGGACTCTAGTCTTTTTACGAATTAAAGGATTTAGGATACATGGCATGCGGCTCATACTGGAACATTTCACGGGTCTTTCGCGTGCTATTCTCATCCTCGCAAATCATATCTCTTTAATCTGCAGGCTCCACCCTCCCGTGTTATAGCTCCATGGGGTCAGCTCTAGCGTTAAAAAGACATTGATATTATGCTTGCAGCCTCTACCCTCACACCTCTTTGCTTTTATCATGGGCAGCCGCCACTCTCACCTGTCATTGATCTTCGGTTGTTAGCTCCCACCTTAAAATATCAAGGGTCTTTTAGCTGTGGCTCCTACCCTCACCAGCCATAGCTCCTTGAGGTATGTTCCTGACTTTAATTTCAATGATTTTATTTATGCGTGTCCTCGTCTCTCATACATCATTGCTCTTTGATATGTGCCCCTCCAACCCCCCAAAGATCCGCCAACGTCGCCATATGATACTTGTTGGAACAGTAAAATATTTCCAGATTTTCCTAATCTAATCAGTTTGTGCATCATCAACATTGCTAAACTCATTTGGTCGTCTTTACCAGTAGTTAATGTTGAGCTTGGCTAACAGCGGGGGGTCTCCAATCCATGCCGGGCTTCCCGCCTATGTCCCACAAGTAGTTCCTAAATTGTCCCAATGCGTATTTTATATTTAGCATAAACTTACATCTATGCTAATATTGTAAACTTTAGAAAAATAATATTTTCAAAAAAAAATTAAATGAGACTTATTGAGGTTAAATCTTTTTAGAGTCACCGGTGTGCAATCGTTTGCCGTGCAGACAAACAACGCATTTTTTCAGTTGGTCAAAGACGAGGACCTGTGTACCTGGCATGCAGCGATGGACAACACTCAAGTGACCGTGCTTCTAAACTTAAGATATAAAGAGAGTTGAAAGTCTCCGCAAGTGAGTTGGCGATTTATTACATTTTTTTTTGGTTAATGTCAATAGGAGGGTAATTAAATGTGTCTTCCCAAATATCTCTATTGCCACAAGATTTAATATGATAAAAGTTTTAAAAAATTAATGGGTTATTTGTGTTCATGGACAGGTGGCTGATATTGAATAGTTTGTAGCTAATCAATTAGTGCATTTAACACAGTTGTGTCGGGGGGGGGGGGGATGAAGTGCTGTATAACCAAATACTCCACTAGATTATTCTTTTAACACACCTTCATCAAATGATCACTAGGTCTTACTCACAGTGCACTTTTGGACACATCTACATAGAGGGGAATGTGCTTCATATACACAGTTTGTCTTTTGAGGCTTTTGAACCAAATTTTTTTTTATTTCCAAGACTTTGCTTTTCCCGGAAATGCGGGAATGAAGTTGTCTTTATGCGTAATCCCGGGATTTTCGCGGGCCGGGATTTCCCGGAATAAAATTCATTTATACGAGAATACCTTCACTGATTTGAACTAATAAAGAGATAAGCCAAAACAAAACACCCCAAATGATTACTTGACGCCGATGTTACTCCCGATTTGTAAGGAAGAAAACATTCGACTATTGAAATTCAAATTCGTTACAAGCGAGAAATAAATTATATTTTTTCCCGGAGAGACAAAAAAATCAAACCCGTTCTTGGACAATTATCGTCTACAAAGAGTGATTCAAGGTAAAATTCATCTACTATAAAGTATTCATTGTCGCCGAGGAATGCTTTATTAAATTTTCAAAAGCTTTTTTTTTTAATTCTCACACCTTTGTAATGGTGAGGTCCTTAAATATGCCAAGGTATGTTTGTGTACACCCAACTACCCAGAAATCCAGGGTACACCCAGGGTATTAAGTATCCATCTTGTCCGAGTAGGGCTTTACAAAATGTTTTAAAGATTTTGTACTTTTCATCAATTATTTTATTCCCGTACCTTTGTAATGGTAAGTTCTTTAATATATGCCAACGTGTTTTTGTGTACATGCCTCTCAAGAGCAATTCAGACAAGCTCAGATTCAGCGTTAGTATTCTAGTAAAGAGGATAACTTGACTGTGTAAATACATTTTATTTATATCAGTTATTCGGCTCCGAATCCACCAGGTACAGGATGAATCTGACCCTGTGCAGAGAGGAAGGCCTGTCCGTGACGTCATACATACATGTAAGTCCAAGGGGAAATGTGACCCTCGCCGTTCTCATGTCTTTCATCGACGTCTTCACCATCATCGCCAACCTCACGGTCATCGCCTCAATGATCTGGTCGCACGTCAGGCGCCGCAGAAACCTCCATCGCGAGCTCAACAGCAACAACCACATCACCAAGCTGCTCATCGGCTCAACAGCTGTTGCCAACGTCTTCATCGGGGTCTTCATCATGCCGCTTGGAATACACGAGATGATCAACAGAGGCAAGTGGACGCTGGGCAAGCACATGTGCCGAGCCCGTCTCACGGTCCTCATGATCCTCTGCACTGTGTCCGCCTACCACGTGATGTGTTTGGCCTTAGACCGCTACATGTCCGTGTGCAAACCGTTAAAGTACCGGCTACTCACGACCAAAATTGGCCGCTCCATGGCAGCGGCCTGCTGGGGAATACCGGTCATCTGTCTTACTGTGCCGTCCACAGCTGGGTGGCATCTGATGGGCTTCGAGGAAACTGCGGAGTGCAATGATCTGAAAAAAATTTGTGACATCATTTACAATTCAGCTTCTTTCGTTACACTAATCGTTACAGCGCTCTACTTGCCCTTCATAATATCGTTTATTCTATACACGCTTGTCCTCGTCGAGGTGAGAAATTTTAATAAACGAAAGACAAAATATCATCGACATGAGCGCCAGGAAAGTATGTCCATATTTTATATCAGTGATATATCTGTTGAGGACTCTCCGCAGAATGCTGTTCAATTAGGCATCCAGGAGTTAACAAATAGTGACGAAGTTTCAGGAAGAAACTATCTTTCTGTGGCATCTGCGAGTTCATTTTCAGGAAATTCCCAAAGCGATAAATTACAAAAGGATGGAAATGTCATTCTTTCCAAGAAATCCAGTACATGTGTCAGCACAGGGTCCCAGCAAATATCAAACGGCAACATGAGAGCCATCTGTACCGTGGGCAGCATCGTTGTCTGCTACACCGTCTGCTGGCTGCCCATGTGGATCTGCTCGATGATGGCCGTCCTTTTGTCAAGCGAAATACCTTTCTGGGTGTTCGTTCTCATCGTGTGGTTCGCCACGTCACACGCAGCTTTGAACCCGGTTTTGTTCTGTTTGAATAGGTCCATCAGACGAGCCGTCAAGTTATTCCTGTGTCGCAAATATGAATAATTATGAATGACTTAAGATTAATGGTACAACTACTGAATTTAGGTCATATACTGCTTTTTGTCGGTAACCTTGTGGTGACATCTGAAGACATCAGAATTATGACACCTGAAGACATCAGTGTTATGACATCTAAAGACATCAACGATATTGCGATAACATCTGAAATCATCAGTAATAGGACATCTAGACACATCAGTAATATGCAATCTGAAAACATCAGATATACGACATCTGAAGACATCAGTAATATGACATTTGAACATCGACAATATTGTGAATAACATCTGAAGTGATCAGTAATATTACATATGAAATAATGAGTCATATGATATCTGAAGTCATCAGTAATATGAATACTGAAGACTTTAGTAATATGACATCTGAAAAAATCAGTAATATGATATCTGGAGACATCAGTAATATGACATTTGAAGTCATCAGTAAAATGACATCTGAAGACGTCAGTAACATGACATCTGAAGACATCGGCGATATTGTGATATCATCTGAAGTCATTGGTAATATGTGACGAAATGTAGACCTCATTTCCTGTGCTCATCCACCCTTCGAAGACAGACACCCTCCCGTCTTACTTCTCTTACTTCTTCGCGCGGACCAGTGCAACCGACATCTACACAACAAACACTGAATATCTTGATATGAGTTATAACGCTATAAGTTACTTATACATTGTCAAAACCTGACGGAGCAATGTACACCAACAATCCAACTCGTAAAAAAATCAAAGCTCTCCTTTAACGATATATCCAGCCGAAATCAACAACACACAAAACAAGCCCGGCTGTGAATATCACTCAATGGCCACCCCTGCATAATATCATTGACAAAACTAACGCGTCATTTCCCCTTACCCAAATACGTCACAACACTCTCACACAATAGATACAGCTACACATGTCTCTCTAAACTAAAAATCTGTAACATACCAAACATATCAGTGATCGATACGTAGCAACAGTGATTCTCATACCCTTGACAAGATGACATCTGAAAACATCAGTAATGTGACATCTGAAAACATCAGTTTTACGACATCTGAAGACATCAGTAATATGACATCTGAAAACATCAGTTTTACGACATCTGAAGACATCAGTAATATGACATCTGAAGACATCGACGATATTGTGATCACATCTGAAGTCATCAGTAATATGACATATTAAGTCATCAATAATATGACATCTGAAGAAATCAGTAATATGTCATCTCAAGACATCAGTAATCTGAAGACATCGGTGACGTGGTCATTTCATCTTGCTATCATATGCGTACCCAACGCATTTTTTAAAAAACAACAGCTAAATATTATTGACATGCGATGGCGAACAATTCTCGCGACCAGCAGAGAAACATTTAGAAGCACCTATGAGAAATACTGCGAAAATATATTGAGAAAGGCAATTTGTGTGAATATTTGGCTCGGAATAATCTTAAGGCAAATTGTATTTTTTTTTTAAGCCTAATATAATGAAACCGCGTTTAACCGAGTTCAGTATTTATTAAACAGGGTCCTTGTATTTTGAGAAAATACCCGATGGGTCCATGTGTTCAAACAAAAGGAGCTAGCTTGCAATATAATATGCAAAGAAATCTACTCCCCGTTGTCGTAGTGAGAGTACATTGCCTTCGTCAACCGTTTGTGTCAATGAAGAACCGGCTGATATGAACAGGCAGTTGTTGGATCACGGAATTGAGATGATGACGTTGTACACAAAAACGCGTCGACAGGGAAGACGTACGAAATAAAAGTCAAAGTATAACAAAAATAACTGTAACTTTCTTTTACCAGGCTACAGCAAAGACCCACATGCACATACAAGCCTGCAGTGAAAGGAAGGGCCCATTACCGACCCAGTTCAGTGTGATGTTCAGCCCGAGAACAAAGATGTGAAAAAAAGGGACTTTAAAACAAACAAAAAAAAACAGTCTAAAGAAAAACAATCAACATATGTACCGGAGTTCAGAGGTCAAGCACGGAGTTCAGAGGTCAAGCACGGAGTTCAGAGGTCAAGCACAGAGTTCAGAGGTAAAGCACGGAGTTCGCTGCGTGACAGCCTTAACTTTCACTCAGTTTTACCAACATAAAACATGTGGAGACGGCGGTGTGTTGTTTTTAAGAGGAAGCAGGATGCACCAAAAGCAAAATAAATGTAAGAGCTACTTCGCATCAGAACTGCCACCCATTTAAGCGTGGACTACTTGTGTGAGACAGAATAACTTTAGCGCAAGTTCATATCATTCATTCCGGTGCCTCTCCTATTAGCATGGAAATGAAACATAGATAAACCAATTAGCACGGCAATAACACATATCAATTGGCATGTGAATACAACAGATACATACACCAATTAGCAATAAAATATTACACATACATACACATGTAAGCTTGGGAAAAACCCAAAAACATATATTAATTAGCAAAGAATAATACACAAACATAAACAATTTAGCATGTATAAAATAAACATATTTACATGTATGTCTGTGCAGCATCTCTGTCCTGAATTTAGTGAATATAATATTTAAATAAACGCTGTTATGTAAAAATCTAAGGGCTCTTCTTTTCTCGTTTCTATTCAACGCAAGCGATTTCTCTGTACGTAGAATGGCTTACGTCATATATTTATAAGAATGAGCTAGGCTGACCTTAACGACAAAGAGATTAATTGATTTGATATTTATATCGTGCCAGTATCCATGCCATTGTAGCATGCTCACTGCGCTCTGGACCTCCGAAATCTATTAAAACAAAAAAGTTTTTAATTGTTTCTTAAATGATTTTTTATCATTTAGAATTTCCCCTCAAAATTTGAGGCAAACTGTTCCGTAATTTTGGCGCTATCGCTTCAAAAGAGCGCACTCCGTACGACTTTTTTCTGTGTCTATCCACACTAGGAACACTCAGCAAGTACTGTGATGAAGACCGCAGGCTCTTCACGGATATATGTTTATAAATCTGTTCCTTGAGAAATTCCGGTGCTGAGCCATCTCTGCAGCTGAACGCCAGGGACAGAATTCTGTAGTTAATGCGCTCACTCACAGGAACCCAATGGAGATCTGGTAGAACTGGGGTGATGTGGTCAGATTTTTTCATCCGCGATACATTGCGTGCTGCAGTATTTTGTATCTTTTGGAGTCTCTGAATTTGGTTCTGAGGTAAACCCCACAAACAACTATTACAGTAATCTAATCTTGACTAGATTAGAGTTACTGCTGCAGCATTGGCCGTTCTCCTATTGAGTTGAGGACGCAGCTGACACAGGGGCACGCAGATGACAGAAGCATGCCTTGACAGCAGAACTGATATGGGGAATCATACTACGTTTACTGCCAATATAAAAGCCAAGGTCTCTGACAGTCGAGGACAACAGACGAAAAGACGGTCAGATTTTTAAAAAAAGTGACAGTGATTTTCTATTATTTTATGGAATTCTAATACATTTAAATGCGAAAAAAATGAAATGTGAACAGGGAAAATGGCATGTCTTTTTACATTTTTTTTTAAATTTGTTTACTTAAACTTTCTGTCCATTCTTCATTTCTTTATTTTCGTTTGGGTTTTGCGCCCATAACTATTCTTTTATTTTTTCTCTTATTTGGGTAGGATACATGTATATATATATATATATATATATATATATATATATTATGTACATTTGTGTAGGTTGTGTACATTTGTACGTGGATGACAATATCTTTAAATCCTAAGATATTACAGTTGTGACAAATAGGAGTTACCTTCTCTTTTTTACAAATAAACGTATGTTTCTTCATATGTGATTCTTCTTTAGATAAAAGAATTCTTTGTTTTCCGATTTTCCGATAATATAGTAGAACACAAAGGTAAAGTTTGTTAATTTTTTATGAACAGGTGGCTTATATATCCAAAGCCTTTAATATAAAATATATTTAAAATGGTTTTATAAAGTTTTTGTTTTAATTTAAGATTAAGTTTTCACAATGTTTAGGAAAACAAAATTTAACTTAGGGGCTGAAAAAGTGGCAGGGTAGGCCCAACATTTAACAATTTAAAATGACATGACATCAAAAGTATTTTTTTTTTTAGCGTAGAAATCAGGCGTCGGTGATTTCCTATATTGACAATAATGATTTAATTAGTGATCATTTGGTAGATTTGGTAATTTAAGTTCATGTTTAGAAAAAAAAATGTAATTTAGGGGTGGGGAAAAGGGGGGGGGGTAGGTTTGGCGTATAATATACAGCAGAAACATACTTCTTAAAACGTTAAATGATGTTAGAAACGTAAACATCATTTTATAGATACTTCTTTTTTACAAACGGAATTGTGGTGAGATTTCACAATAGCAGGTGGAAATTATCGCAAAGTGCCTGCCATTGTTATCTCGATAATATCGGGTCGTATTTTCTAGTTGTTTACTATAATTTTGGTATCATCTCATTACATTGACGAATGTTTGGTCGAAGCTGTGACATTATCACGATCAATATGGATGTTAGCAGCACCGCGATTGAACGCCAGATTCGAGATGGCAATTTTCATGAGTGAACTGACAATGTTTTTCAATGATGAAAACACCGCCAAAACCGATCCACATTTTGTCGTAATGGAGTTTTGACTACTCAAATAAAAGGTAATGGGTTTGTATATTGGTTTATTTAAATTCAGGAGGAAAATAAAAGGTTTGTTTTGTAATCGACCGTGAGTGTGGGGAGAGGCGAGCAGGAAAATGTATAGAATGGGAACTAATTGATGTTGGTGTTGGTCTGTTTTAAATGTAGCCGTCTGAGTAGTTTTTAATTGCAGTAGTTTTAAACGAGTCCTCTTATTTTCTTCCAAAACCAGTGCTGACAAAATCACTTGAAACATTCATTTAAACACAGACAAACTCACATCAGATTCCGATTTAATTTCTAAAGCCTTTGAGTTTTGATAATGCTGAGGTAGTCATGCATCAGTGGTAACTACAATCACGTTGTCATGATGCGGTGGTAACTACAATCACGTTGTCATGATGCGGTGGTAACTACAATCACGTTGTCATGATGCGGTGGTAACTACAATCACGTTGTCATGATGCGGTGATAACTACAAGCACGCTGTCATAATGTGGTGGTAACTACAAGCACGTTTTCATGATGCGGTGGTAACTACAATCACGTTGTCATGATGCGGTGGTAACTACAAGCACGTTGTCATGATGCGGTGGTAGCTACAAGCACGTTGTCATGATGCGGTGGTAACTACAAGCACGTTGTCATGATGCGGTGGTAACTACAATCACGTTGTCATGATGCGGTGGTACCTACAAGCACGTTGTCATGATGCGGTGGTAACTACAATCACGTTGTCATGATGCGGTGGTAACTACAATCACGTTGTCATGATGCGGCGGTAACTACAAGTACGTTATCATGATGCAGTCGTAACTACAAGGACGTTATCATGATGCGGTGGTAACTACAATCACGTTGTCATGATGCGGTGGTAGCTACAATCACGTTGTCATGCATCAGTGGTAACTACAAGGACGTTGACATGCATCAAACGTAACTGCAAGCCTTCTAGAGTTAAGATCTTCATCGCAGATAAAGGATAAACATCAGATATGCCGTGCTACTGTAACGTTTGTAAGAGAAGGTCTCTGCCACATAATAAACATCGTCGTATTAATTAATTTGATAACTTTAGATAATACCGCTTTTTGGACTAGAGGAGCCTTGTTTTTTATAGTGTAACTTTTATCACTTCTCATTTAGAAAAGACAAAATAACCTACTTCAGCATTCGTTGCAGTGGGGTTGATTTTTGTGTTTTTCTTTCATCAATTCTGTTAGAAATAAAAAACCAATGATGAATGGCACAGTTTGTTATCAGGTGACCTTCAAAACTCCAATGGATTTGTCTTATGTGACGTCAAATCGATACGCTTTAATTATAATTTCGCTACTCGCCTCTCTGCTCATTGTGTTCACCATTTTGGCCAACGTTGGGGTGATATGTGTCATGCTCTACTCAAATTTTCGTGGCCCCGTGAACAAAAAACTCAAAAATCATCAAACCGAAAACATTACAAAATGGCTGATGACATCTTCTGCCATCCTGGATGTCATGATCGGAGCGGTGAGCATGCCGCTGGGAGTCTCGGAGCTCGTTCATAACGGCAGGTGGACTCTTGGATGGGAGGTTTGTAGAATCCGACTTCCGTTGTCCTTCGTCTTCAGCGGGATTCTGGCATATCACGTGATGTGTTTGTCAGTTGACCGATACTTAGCTGTGTGTAAGCCATTTCTGTACAAGCGTCTTCCTACAAGAACTGCATACGTAATGATTTTTTTATCATGGATCATCCCTATCGCTTGTGTCATGATACCTGTCTTTTCTGGTATCACCCGCCTTGGTGTTGAACATATTATCGCATGCATCGAAAAGCATGACATTTGTGTAACGGCTTACAACATACCCGCCATGAAGACCATAACGTCGCTGCTATTTTATCTCCCATTCGTCGTTACTTACACGGCGTATGTGTTTATACTTCTGGCTGTCTGGAGGTTTAACGAACGCAAGAATACGTTTATGGCTCAAGGTAAGCCTTGCTCGTACGATGACCAAATCACCTGTTGTAATGAATCCTCTAACCTTTGACACCATCAACTCCGAAAAAGATATACACGATTCTCCAATTTCAAGAAAGACCACGGAAAAAAGTGAGAGCCAAGAGCAAGAAAAAGTTATGTTCAGGGCGACGTCACAGCCGACAAGGGCGATCGTTACAAAGACTAGCCCGAATAAAAAAGCCAACTTGATTGTTGGTTGCATGATCGCCTGCTACACAATTTCCTGGCTTCCCACTTGGGTACTGGGGCTGGTCATTTCGCTGGAGGTTCACGGTGTGCCATATGCATGGTTCCTTGTCTGTTTTTGGCTTGCGTCTTCAAACGCAGCACTGAATCCTATCGTCTTCTGCTTGAACAATTCCATCAGACAAACGCTTTTTCAGCTGTTTTTTCTTTCGAAATATAATAAGAAGAATTAAGGAAATCTTAGGCATTTCTTTGAAACTATATAAGAAGTACAGGTTATTCTTAGATTTTCGGGATCCTCCTTCTCCTCATCTTCATGTCCCTTAGTCCTTGAACCGTTGGGGCGTCACAGATGACATGTGAACCATCCTCCTCCATTCCTCTCTGTCTTCAGCACTACGCACTGCATCGCCCTGTGTTAGTCCTGTCCACTCTTTGATGTTATCCTCCCACCTTTTTCTTTGTATTCCTCTTCTTCTCCCTCCTCTTGTGGTGCCCTGCATGATTTCTTTGGCAAGCCCTTGTTTTCTTGTTACGTGGCCGTACCATTGTAATTTGCGTTTTTTCACAGTCACCAGTAGGTAATCGTACTCCCCAATTGCCTGACGAACCCTTTCTTTCGCTGTATCATTGGAGATATGGTCCCTATAGCAGATTCCCTCATCTCCATCGCCTTTATTTTCCTTTCAAGATCGGCTGTTAATGTCCAGGATTCGCAGGCATACAGGAAAATGGAGAGGACTAATGAGCGCATCAGCCTGATTTTGGTGCTGGGGGCTATATTTTTGTCATTCCATATTTTCTTGAGCTTTTTTAGTGCTGTTGTAATCCTGGACATCAGTTCGGGATAGTTTGAATGAAATTCTTTAAAGAAATATTTTGAATATATTTTTTCGCCAGTTTTATTGTACATGATGCATTATTAAAATACTAGTATTATTTATTTTAAAAAGCAGTTTTCGAATGCGTTCTGACTTCCATACAATATGTTATTGAATTAATGAATATTTACCAAATTTGATGTGCTATTTTTAAAAGTAAATGAATGTGTCTTAAAAATATTTAAATAGCACATATGCTACATTATTGTTTGATCATGTTTAGACTTTACGTAGTGCAAGAGCCGTGACGTAGTGACTTATTGTGTCACTTCCGACAACAACAACAAAATCCCATTAAAATAAGGCACTCCAAGCTTACAACAACTAATGGATCGGACGTGTGTTCTTGGCGTTTTAAATGACAAAAATAAGGAGCTGATGTGACCCTGTAACACTAAAAAAAACAATCAATTCAAATAGGGTTGGATTATTCAAAACAATAACTGTGATTTAAAAATTTTTTATTTTTTTTACGAAATGGAATTAATTTCAAACATTATCAAAATATGATAAATCTTCTTATATTTATCATACATAATATGTTAAAGGTAAGTATTATTATGATAAATTAGAAATACATATAATATAACAATTAAATAATTATTTTAGGCTTTTTTTCTGAATTTGAAAGTTGATTTAGTGAACAAAGAGCCATTGCCAACTCCCGTATCACTCAGTTAAATATCAATAAACCAGTTGAAGTCGTAATAGATTCCATTTGATATCAATATCTGAAAACACAGTTATAACATGTTTAACTTTGAAATTAATTGTAATGTTTAAATAAAAACCCATATCATTCAAATGTACGGATTTTTTTTTCTGGCATCCGTCCGTCACAGTGTGATGATGGTGAAGACTTCGCAGGACGAAATCCACAAGACCTGGGATTATTCTTCTAGGATTCCCAACAGCAAATCGCCTCTCTCCACGCCACTGTATTACCCAATGGAACATCAAATGGATGATACAGCTTGGCACCAGTGGCGTCGTAGGAGTTGTCGGAATGTTTCATTGTATTAATGTTATCCGCCTCCGGGACTCCATCTCCGGGTTTGAAGTCTGAGTTTCCTTCTCTTAGATGAGTTCCAATCCAAGGTTAATGAGTCCCATCCCCTTGCGTTGGAAGTCGTGCAAGTGGCCTGGGTTTTTGGCTTCGGGAGTAAACCTCCCTACTAGTCTGGCCCGCCACGAAGAGGCAAACCCCATGTGAGACCTCCGAGTCTCCTCGGTTGTGCGGGACTCTGTCTTAGAGACGTTCAATCTTCGTCTGGAACCTGTCTTAGAGGCGTTCAATCTTCGTCCTTCCAGACCACAAACAACACAGGCCACTATACACCCAGGATAATAATAGCTAACTGGAAAAGATGGTACACAACATAACCCCAACAGGTGTTTGCGAAATAGATATGTTTTCAAATTGGTTTTGAAAGACTACAGTGTCTGGCTGTTTCTGAGAGCGACAGGAAGTGTGTTTCAATAGAGCACAATATAAAATTCCATATAACTGCATGAAACAGCGTGCAACTTTGTGTTAGATATTCGCGCAAACAAAAATTCCTACACTAAATTAATTTTTTTTTAAGGATATTAATTTTATTTAATTTTCCCGAATAGAATCAATTTAAATATGACACAAAAAAATGCTTTTGTGCAATTTATTATATGTAATTATTATTTATATAACTTAGAAATATATTTAATATCATAGAAAAGATTTATTTTTAAGATCTATCTGAATTTGAGAGTTAAGATATTATATATAAATTGACTTTGTGACTGTATACTACTATTATGTTCTGGAATAAATGACCCTATGTTATCGGATTAATAATGGTAGGTCGTTTTCTCCCTGCTATTGCAAAAATTCATTACAATATCCTAACTTTGGAAAGAATTATCTATGTAATGATATTTACGTTGCTAACATCATTAAGTTTTAAGAAGTATGTATCTGCTATATGTTATACGCTTAACCTACTCCCTTTCATGCCGCTAACTACTTTTGTTTTCCTCTAAACATAACCTTAAATCATCCTAATCTAAATCATCAATAATTATATCACTTGAGTCACTAAAGAAGTTAATTGAGGGACGATTTCTAAGCTTCAGAAATAATTTAGACTTAGATACCCCTTTTCGTGCGCTTGAACTACAACTATTTTTTTCTCTAAAAGTTGTGAAAACATAATCTTAAATTTACAACAAAAACTCTATATACCATATACATATATTCATATTAAATGAATTTGATATATTGATATAATCATCAAAATTTAAACAAAGTTTACCTTGTTATTTTAAATATACATTATCAGAAAATTTTAAACCAAAGAATTCTTTTATCTAATGAAGAATCTCGCAAACGTTTTTACTTCTATAACGGACTTGGGTGTCTTTTTTTTTTTTTTTTATTTTTAATTTCCTAAAAATACACACGCACGTTACTTTTCGAAAATTAAAAACAAAAATATATTTTCGTTTTTTTGTTTTTTTTTTTTTTTTTTTTTTTTTTTTTTTTTTTTTAGTTTTTTTTTTTGTTGTAAAAGGAGAGTGTAAAATCTCTTTTTTTTCAGAAATGTAATACAATATGATTTAAATATATTTTCATCCACGTAAAATTGTACACATCCTATTTCTTACCTCCGATATGTATGTAACAAAAAAGTGAACTAATTATCAAATTTAATTCTTTATTTTGTGACGTATCTTGTGCTGCCAGGGGCGAAATTAACAACCGCCCCACCCCCCAAAATTTTAATACCATTAATAAAATCTTCCACCGGATTGTAGTCTCTTCCATATCGAAACTAACATATGTTGCGCTCCAAATGATTTTTTCTTATTTGAATGAGTTATAAGTGGATTAGTGAATGCAATTTGGCTATGGAGTTTCATTGCACTTATTGAGCTAAACGGCATTTCCTTATTAGAAATAATTTTAATGGTTAAGTTTTTATTACGTTATAAATTTAATAAAGTTATAATTAAGAAATTTAAAAAATAAAACTTATTAAATGTTAAAAATACAAAGTTACATTTTTTTTTTTTGCGTGTTTTATAAACAATATAAAAAAGCAATCAATTATTTTATTAATTTTATTTTAACTCGCGGTTGTGAATCAAAGAAACTTAGAGCTAGAGCTTTGATATTTCGCGCTATGACGTCATGTGCGGCTTTATTTAGAATAGATTTGATTTTGCCAATTTAAAAAAGTACTAAAAACGCACTAAAAGCAACTAATGTTTGGGTTTGCCCGATAAATGTGATTACGATGAATTTCTTTTATCATAATATTTACATTTAATTATTTTTTTTTCATAATTTTTAAATTCGGATGAAACGCTTAAAACTGTTCATTAGTTGTCACTTTAAATGTACTTGTTATTTATAATAACAATTCTTAAACTTTTACTAAATCAAAAGCGGATATTTAATATTTTTTGTGCAATTTAATTTATGAGCTTGCCGTACAATAATAGAAAATGATTGTTTTTAAAGAATCCGAACGTATTTAAATATTTTCATTTCTTTGGCGTTGTGGTCAGCAGAGCTCATTTTATATATATTATAATATATCAATATCTACATTGTTAGTTTGAAAGCAAATTTAATTTTAGAATTATAGTAGAAAAAAATTAACCCAAATGTAAGATTGTATTTTGCATAAAATTCATACTACTATAACTTCATCTAAAATTATAGTTTGAAAAGACTTTTATTTATTTCAATATTTTTAATACTTTAGTGGGCACTTCTGTAACTATCGGGAAAGACCGAAAATCACCACTATGATTTTGGCATCCTTACTGTTTTATAATTAAATCAAAATTAATGTTAATTGCTAAAAAGACTCCAAACTGTGTCATCCTTTTGCTTGAAAACATAGTTATGATATTAGAGAAACCAAATTTAAACCCACAAATCAAAAACTTTAGCGTTTTCTTGATTTTAATCTGTTTACAACTTTGATATCTTTTACCACTCCCCCAACCCCTTCACTCTAAGGTAATGCTGTAGCAGATTGCGATGAGCTCACATCTCTCTTTCATGATTGCGCGATGGCCTGTCTTTTCCTCCTACTGATAGCTAGAGACAAATTTAACAGTGTGTGTCATTTTAAACACCCATTGCTGCCAAAGTGCAGGCATCAAATCAGAATCCTTTAGTGATACTTTCGTTAAAATTAAAGTTTCAAAATCATTTTTAATTTTTTACTTTCTAAATATTCTTAGAAACCAATTTTTTAGAAAATTATTCGAAGGAATATAAATAACTTAAGAGACATGACCTTTTCTGCGTACATTAAATGAGTTTAGGTCAAGGCTAAATTATCAATCAAGAAAAATCT